CGGCGCTGTCCGTCCCTCGAATATACAGATATCAGTTGTACGAAGCAAGTGCGGTTCGCTTGTATTTTTATATAAATTCACTTCAGAATATTTATTTTTGTGTCAGATAAGCATAAGTAATGTCTATTACTTTTGTTTTAAAAATCGACTTTCTTAGGGAATTTTCTTATGACTACCTTAGTTGTTTGTTTGATGCTTAACTAGGACAAACTGTCCGACTGGTTAACTTTGACCGAGAAGTCAATCGACGGATCTAACTCGGCTGGGTAGCGTTCGGGAGATCGACACATCTTGTCACGTAGGTACTTATACCTCAAAATTTGAAAACAAGAGTGTACAACCAGTGCGTGCTGTGTGGCTACATAGGACGACGTGTATGTGGCGACATACAGACATGTGGATATAAGAACGTAGGTTGGCCGTATACTTCGAAGTAAGTCGATAAATGCTGGTGGTGCAGGACAGTGCTTTGTGCCGTTCCTCGTGGGAGATCTATGTTCAACAATGGACTAGTGATGAGCTGTCATGATGATAATGATAATGATGATCTAGAGTTTTATCATTATAGTTTAAAATATTAGGTATAATATCTCTCTCCTTACAGTAGAACCAGAGTAACCAACATAGCCCAACGAATTAGTTACCTGAAATGGCAATGGGCCGCCCATATAGCTCGAATAACCGAAGCAAGGTTCTCTAGTGGCAGCCTCGAACCGGTAGGCGAAGTGTAGGGCGACTCCCACCAGATGGAGTAACGACCTGGTAAGTCATGCAGGAAGTCGGTTCTGAGTCCACCTGCATCCATCGACATGGATGCAGGTGGCTCAGGACCGTTCTTTGTGGCATTCTTTGGGGCAGGCCTATGTTCAGCAGTGGACTTGGGAAGGGCTGTAATGATAAATAATTATGATGTCTCCTTACTCTCCTCGCTGAAACTGATCTGGATTTTTAAGTCAAGTGATATTAAGGTGGCATAACACATTATATTACAAGACATGTTCATAATTGACGTGGAAGAAGATTATCTGTTCTTTTCTTAAATTATATAATAAAGACAAAAAAACTTTGACGATAAAGTAATAATATCTCGCCATTGTACTTAATGGAATTTATTTCCATTAAGTACAGTGGCAAAAAACTTAATAGCGACAACAAAATATCTTTACGATTAATTAGTAATATCTCGCCATCGTACTTATTTGAAAAAAGAAAAACTTAATAAGACTACATATGTGTCTTATTAAGTTAGATAGATATGAACATTCTTAAAAAATATTAAAACATAGAACTTCGTTTAAAAAAAAAGCAATTACTCGTAAACGGGTTACCGCCGTGAGAATTAACTTCCTCTATTCAGCCATTTGCAAAACTTTATGCGTTGATCATACATCATTCAAACTACTCCAGTATTGAATAATAATTTATAAGCCCTAATAAGATGGTATTATAACCACTTAAGTTCGCTAAGTGATATAACTCGTAAGTGAATTACGCCGGTAAGTGCGAGCAACTTTATTTAATAAGAATTCGCCTCTAGTTATCATGTATCACGGATTATGACTCCTTTTTCGCAGTTTAGCTTTTAATAGGTAATTGTTTTTTTACATGTAACTATAGAGTAATGCTCTGTTATACAGAGGAATGAAAAATAAATATTTTATGAAAATATCTATCGCTTATAATTTTTACAATAACCAAGCAAGTTTTTTTTTAATTCCACATCATCGTCATCAACAACATTTTACAATAAAATTTCAAAAAATATAAACCTTATAATAATTCCACCGAGAGTCCCTCTATCCATTACAGGTTATAACAGTCCATTGCTGAATATAGGCCTTCCTATAGATTGCCTCATAGTTGGGCAAAGGCTTCTGCTATAGTGTTTTTAATTTGAATTGTTGTCAAGAGGATGTTACTGCCAGTCTCTTCTTTCAGTTTCCCTCTTTCACCTCTTAAAACACTCACAAAACGATATGGGGTAGTGGATATTCTTATACCGCCTTTACAGTAGTAAAAAAAAGTTACGTACACTACACGCCCCAACTGGCGTCACAACTGTGGCGAATTTGTATTTTGGAAAATCTCAAACCTTTTTTTTGACTGCTTTTATCTGCATAAAGTGTAGAAACACATGTATAAATACGTTACATTGTATAGTTATAACAGTGTAACCATCATTACATACGACAGGCTTAAGATAACCAGACATACAACAGAGGGCAGCATCAAATATGCAAGACATCGGGTACTGCAATCGACAATTCTTCTGCCAAACGTGGTGATATTATTTCTGATTGAGGTCCACGTCGAGGAGCATACTTTTATTGACTAATTTAGAAGAAGATAGGAGCTGGATAGGAAAAAACGCCAGAAATAAAAATAAAAGCCAACAAAAACGTGAAATTAGTTGTATTCATGAACAAATTCCCATCTAACGTATAAAAAGTCTTCAACACGACCTTTACATTTATTACGTAGCATATACGTAATTATATAATTCGATCTACCACAAAAACATATCACACATGATTTTCTGTACTTTTTTATTGCGTTCTATTAAAACATGCAATATAATAAATTTCAAAGAAGTAATCTGTGGCACGAAACCGCCAGCGAAGTGGCTTGAACGCAAAATGATTGATGGATCCCAAAACCAGCGCCGGCGGCGTACTCTGGATTTATCGGCGCGACTCCCTGCACAGACGTCTACATCCGCTCCAATCACGTGAACCCGTCTGATATGTTTGTGGAATAAATCACGTGTCATTTGACTACAATAAAAGTACGCTTTAACCAAGCATTCCGGAAAAACTAACACTGCATTTAATAACGACATCAAAAGGGAGTATCGTCAATTACTTTACTTGATAAATAATTTTTGTTTACGGCTCATTTACAAAATGGGTTAGTGGGTTGATTCCCGCACCAAACAAATACCTATATGTTTTTATGAAGTGAAATTATTTTCCGGGTGTGAATATTTCTCCATGTGTAATTTAATTCTGTAAAATACCACCACTCTATAGAAGACATTCTTAGTGTAAGAGTATATGCGTAGTAGTAAAGTAAAAAAAAAAGTTTTCGCAGAAAAACTACCACACAGAAACACATCACTTTGGAATCGCTTTGGTATCCGTCAGTCCATCATGTCAAAGAAATTTTTGCTTGAATTTTGATAAAATAATTTGAAATTAACAAACGAAATTAAAATAATTTGGATAAACAACACAAATAATATACCTAATTAAAGGCGTCAGGCTAGCTAACAAAGAGGAATTTTGGTTATAGGGGATAATTTTAAGGTGTAAATTAAAATATTAAAAACCTCGCATATTATATGCCATCTTATAATAAATAGAGTACTAAGAACATACACATACCTTCTCTAACACTGACACGTTTTGCATGTCCAAGAACAAATTCAAAAATCTGTCTCAGATGTTTTGGCAGATGGAATTGCTTATTAACTTGAAGACTGAGGTATATTATGCTATACACTGTAAATTATGGTATTGACATTGCTGAAAACAAAATAAAAAATATTTCAATGTTTGGAAAAGAAATGTAAATCTACAAAGGATTCTATTTTACATAATACGTTCGAAACTTGTTTATATATATTAGTTAATGTACAAGCTGTAGATTTTGCTTCATTAAAATAAAATAAAACTAATAAAGTGATTCTTTACTTTTTACCATTTGGCTGATTTTTGTCTTGCCACGGCCCACCAATATTTTTTTTTTGTTTATTTTAACTTTGTTCTATAATTAAAACGCATACAAAAATAAAAGTGTACCCTTATCTTAAGGCAGTGGTCGGCAAAGTGCGGCTCCAGAGCCGCATGTGGCTCTTTGGCTCCTTAAGTGCGGCTCTGGCACAAATATCCACGGAAAGCGCAATAATATTGTCATTTAAAAAAAACTCGGTAAAAAAATACATTTTATTTTGATAAATTTAAATTCTTCTAAATATCGAGAACATGTATAATTTTTTGTTTAAGTTAAAAGATGAATAGGTATTTAAAATTTTATATTATTGTAAAAATATGTAACAAACATCGAGTGTAATTTTATTAGTTTTCGTAAATGTAAACACAAACCATGCACAAGCTAGCGGCTGAAATTGATCGTTTTTTTATAGGATAGGGTGACAAACGAGCACACAGTCCACCTTATGGTAAGTGGTTGCTGTGACCCATAGATATCTACATCTATCCTCGTTTGCGAATCAAAATGCAGATGCGTTGTCACCCCTGAGGACTAGAATGGAATGCCTCTTTTCCAGTAAATAGGGTCTCCGGTTCTCTACATTCACCATACGAAACACAGCAGCATTAAGCTGCTATTTTACGCTGGTATTCTGTGAGAGCGTAGTCCTTCCCCGGTCGAGCCGACCCATTCGTGCTACAATTATACCCGAAATATAGCTGCAGCATGGCTCTACCACGTAAAAAATGTTCATATGTTTTCGGCGTACTCTGGTGTGATACAAAGGTACTACAAACATACGCGCGCATACTTCTTCTAAAGTAGTGGGGGTAGAAATTGGCATCACAGACCAGCAGTTGCAGTGTGAACAGTTTTGTCTTATCTGCCGTTGTCGTGTCTGCCGTTGTCCTGTCTTATTAAAAAGTTGTTGTATTTTTCAATCTAGCTACACATCTTACAGGTATATTTATACTATTTTATTACACCTGCTATATATGTTTGTGGTTCCGGTACAACATTTGTAATCGATTTTTCGATAACTTCTATTTGTCCAAATGTTGGAAGTTTTCTTCCATTTTTGGTCATATTAAAATTTTGTTATTCTGATGATGGAAAAAAAAACATTTTTTTCTTTTAAGTGCAGTAACATATACTAATAAAATTATATTTGTTTTTAATTTTTATTTTCATCAATTCAATAATGATAATAATTTTGTACTGGTGGCTTCAGAAAAAAAATATATTTGGAATATTTTTATAGGCACCCCAATTAACATGGCTACCAAAAAATGCAAAGAAAACGGAGAAATGAAAATCGTAATAAAGTTGATTGGACCGTGAATTTTGCGTTTATTCAAAACTTGAATGGACTTCCGACATGTCTTATTAGTAAGGAGAAATTCACGCATAACAAGAAGTCAAATTTAGAGAGACACTTTACAAGAAAGTACGCATCATTTAGCACTAAATATCCTACCGGTGATGCTAGGAAGAAAGCAGTTGAGGAACTTCAGAAGAGTCAAGAGGCGTAAACTTCTGTGTTTAATAACTTGATGGAATCTTCCAGCAATATTAATATGGCAAGTTTTGTTTTTAGCCAAGAGATTGCTAAGAGAGGGAAACCGTACACAGACGGCGAATACATAAAAACATTGTTTTATAAATGCATCCGAAGAGCTATCTCGGGATTTTAAGAACAAAGCAGATATTCTGAAAAGAATTAAAGAATTACCATTGTCTGCCAAACCCATTAAAGATACAATTAAAATGTGTTCGAATATAACCACCCAGCATATCGAAGATCTGAAATTGGTTTCCGCTTTATCAATAGCAGCTGACGAGTCTTGTGACATAAATGAACAAGGGTGCCTAAAAGGTCGGTTTTCTCTTTAAGGGTGTGAGCCAGTGAGTCGTCCTCCCTGTGCAGAGATGGTAGTGATGGCTTACAGAAATTCCCTTGGACAGCCTTGGCGAGAGACCAGAATGCACGGGTTCCCGAAGGAAGGCGAAGTAGTTTCTCGCCGATTCTGCCTATGTGCTCTGACTTTGCCCTGGCAATAACTCTTTTGGAGTACCTGGAGGTGATGTTATACTTATTTTTAAGCACGCTGGGGTTTACATCCTGAGCCGCCGAAGCCTCAGCCCAGGGCTGATAACACTCCTGCTTACTGCGTAATGCAGTCTAACAGGAGGCCGAACCTACACCTTGTAAAGTTGCAGGCGTTGTGCCGGCATGAAATACTGGCCCGCTCTGCTGAGCACGCAAAGTTTTTTAGAGGTCAATTTGGCTTTCTCTTCCAAGTGACCACTTTTTGTAAGATTTATGTCTCATTCAGGCCCTAAAGAAGAACTTTTAAGATTATTGCCACTCAAAAGTTAGACACGTGGAGAAGATATCGCAAATGCTGTAATTTAGGGTATGGATAAACATCATATTCCCCTCGATAAAATTGTGTCGATTTCAACAGATGGAGCCAAAAGTAAGACCATCGTAAGGAAAGGGTTTGTGCTATTTTGAAAGAAAAATTATCGCGAGATACTTGTTTACCATTGTATCATTCACCAAGAAGCGCTTTGTGCGCAATCATTTCCGGATGAAATTTGTAAAGTTATGGAATTAGTAATTACCATTATCTACTCTATTTTAGCTAAAGCTCTTAATCATCGCCAATTCAAAGAATTTTTATTTGAAATGGAGAGTGAGTACGCTGATCTTCTGCTTTATAACAAGGTTGGTTATCAAGAGGGAACGTTTTAAAACGTTTCGCGTCCCTTTTTCTGGAAATTAAAGCATTTCTCCGTGAGAAGGGCGTTCACTATCCAGAACTAACAGACGATCAGTGGATCCAAAACTTTCATTTCATGGTAGACGTTACGTCTCATCTAAATCAGCTTAATCGTAAACTACAAGGGAAAGGAAACTTAATTTTTTGGATGTTAGAAGAAGTAATAACATTCGAAAAATATTATCCAGTTTTGCTCAGGATTTTGAAAGAGAAACATTGTTTCACTTTCTGAGCCTGCTGAAGCATCGCCAAGAAAATAATTCCTCTTTTGATAAACACCGTTTTAAAACAATAATTTTAAATATGAGGTAAGCATTTTTCAGCAGTTTTCAGGAATTTAAAAACAGCAGAGCAACTTTATCATTTGTCAAAAATTCTCTTAATGCTACGATAACCAAGTTGAAATTTTCTCCTTTTGAAATTGACATTGGTAGCTTTGAAATACAATTGCTGGATTTAAAAAACAAGCAGATATGGTGCTCTAAATTCGAAAGTCTTTGTGTTGAATTGGAAATATAGGAGACGAAAAAATGTGATCTTAGTTCACAACACAAGTGGTCTGCTTTGAATGACCTGAAGAAGGAAGACATAATCATTTTCAATGCTTGGAATTGTATTCCTGACTCTTACCATCAGCTGATAAAGCTCGCGTTTGCTGTTCTTTCCCTTTTCGGCTCTACATATATGCAAACAATATTTTTCAAGCATGAACATTAACAAGAGTAAACGTCGTCTTATTGATGAGAACTTGGAATCATGCCTAAAATTTAAAACAACAACATACAAACCTGTCTTAAACTTTCCAAGGAGATGCAAGCACATTGTTCGCAATAATAAATATTTATTAAATATGAAATTTAGTTTTATTTAGTGTACTACTTATTTAGTGTAATAAAAGTTTACTAAACAAGCAGATTTGGCTCCCAACTTTTTTAAATTGTTGTAATGTTCATATTTGGCTCTATGGCTGATAAGTTTGCCGACCACTGTCTTAAGGTAACAACACTTTCATGATTGCAAAACCGTATTCACAGTATCTGCACACCAACCGCTGTCACCACAAAGTTTATCTAATTTTTTTTTAGACAATTGTATGATACTTTGGCGGAACACATCAGGTATCTTCAAGTACTACTAGTTCACTGACCACTGGTTGGGAATTACTTATAGGGTGTCAGTCATATACTTATTGAACCATGAAATCTTATAATAGTACGAGTACATATTATATACGAAAAGACATTAAATACATTTATCCTTTGTTTCTTTTTGTTGTGTATTTATTTACTATATCTTAATAAAATAGGTTTGACTGTTGTTTTTTTTAACTAGATGCGAGAAGATTTGATATCCGCTAGCATGATTGATATTGTTGCATAAAGTTATAAGTTCGATTTACACATGTTCGAAGATGAAGGCAGTCTTCCTATGAAAACCTACGTATAAAAATACTTCGACGACATGCAAAGGCTGCCACAAACTGCTTCTGCTGATAGGGCAGTAATGACAGAAGACTCGTGATTAGCAGTGAGGCGTATGTAAACTGTTAGGTACTTTTTTTTACCAATAATCCTCTTCATATCGAAATAATTTATCTTGTTTCTCTTTTAATAACCTCGACGTTAAGAAAAGAGTCTACACTTTTGTTGAAAAAATACATAATTGAAACTCTTAAATATAAAAATATCAAGAGTTAAGTTTAAAATTCACACTAGGCAAATAAAAACATCAGTAACGTTTCCTGCAGATAAAAACTTTCCAATGAATAAATCACGAATAAATCGGTACCGGTGCGCAACATCTATACATAATTACAGGCTGCAAATGCAGTTATTAACGATAAAGATTTATTCGTCAGCAATTATCCAAAAAAAGCTGTGATATTTGTACCCTTTTGTTACGCAGCCGAAAGAACAGGTGAAACGGTGAAGGAAAGCATTCATATCTTTCTTCACGGTTTTTGTCCATATTTTTTTGTTAGGCAAAGGCAAATGGTGTCGAACTAAACACCAGCAGTAATTAGTGGCGATTAATAATCGGTTATCTTGATCGTGGGACGTCTAGCGTAAATCGTAGGTTTTGTTAACATTTTTTTTTATAAGGAAGGCCCATTATGTTTTATTGCGTTACTAAATAATATTTAGTAAAAATTGTCGCTTTAGACATTATAAAAACAAAACTCAATCTCAAATTCAAACAAAGAAGATTACAAATGTATCATCTATTCCAAGGACTAAGAAAGAACGCTTAACATCCTGTAACATTAATGCTGGCTCTCTTATCATTCAGATCGTTACATGCTTGGCGGCAAATATACATCAAAGTGTGGTACCAACTCAAATGAACTCTTCGGCATAAAAAGAATCCTGCCGCAGTATAAAGAGTTACCTTTTACTTCTGACGAGGCATTTCGTTAAAGTTCTCATGGGTAAAATCATATGGAGTTACAGGATGCTAATAATGAACGTAGGGAAACGTTTTTGTTTTTCCCAGGTTTTCAATGGTCCTGGTTCCGCGATCTGTTTTCGTACCCCGCTAATATCACTGCACACTTTATAATAAAAAATGCAACTGATATAATACAATAATCAACACAATTGACATATTTAATACTATTCTTATATATTCGACTGATTCAAGTGAAAGTAATCTGAAGTCGCAATGGACCAGCCATATAGATCGAAGAACCGACGACTGGTGGAAGGGAAGAAATCAAATTTTAACAGTGGTAGAGCCACACGGCAGCTTTTGCTGTCACATGGATGGGCCGGCTTGAACCGGGGTGGTACCACGACCTCACAGAAAACCAGCGTGAAGTAGAGGTTTACCTCTGCGTTTCGCTTGGTGAGTGCAGGTGGCCGGAGGCCCTTTTTACTGGAAATGAGGCATTCCATCTTAGTCCTCACGGCTGACAACGAATCTACATTTTGATTTGTAATAGAGGATAGATGTAGATGTCTATGGGCCGCAGCAACCACTTACCATCAGGTGGACTGCGTGCTCGTTTGTCACCCTTATCCTATAAAAAAAATGGCAACCTCGTACTGGTGAGCGAAGAAAATGGCGGACCCTAATATAGGGAGTGATAAGTTCATGCTTTGCGGTATTCTTTGGGGGTGGCCTGTATTCAGCAATGGACTTGTAAAGCACTCTAATGATGATGAAGATTCTTATATGCAAATCTTCAAATAGACAAAGCATTTTTGTTTAACCCAGATTTTCTAAAACAAAGCATGCCCCTACTTTTAATTTAATCATTTTAAATCAATTACAATCGAATTCAACGAATTTTGTTGAAAATTAATTTTTGGATAAGTTCAAGTCACATCATTAAAGCTCTTTATCTAAGATCAGTCGGCGTCGGCAGCGTTTTGCGCATGCGCAGCGCAGCCGCGGGAATGTGACGTGAAGGAGCAAGGCTTCCTCGAACTGCACCTCTGACAACTCTGCCGTGTCAATCAAAAAATTTCGTAGTGTTGTACAAAACAAAATATCGATATTCATTTTAGTACATCACTGTTTTAAGGGTCACAACTGATGCTTAGTCAGCATTTTGGAAATCATTTGTTTATATTATTTTATATATTATATAATTATTTTTATTATCACCAGATATTTTTCGTATTCTGGCCCCAGTCTCGAACGTCGTAAAACCATTAGGAATAAGAAAAGCAATTTCAAAAAACTATTATTACAGATGTGCACAGGGAAAAGCAATCGGCTTAAAATTTCAAATTTCAAATTAA